AAAAAAAAAAAAAATAAAAAAAAAACACATCTTAGTAAAACCAATACCTTCTCAGCTTCGCATCGAAGCTAAAAATATGTTATCTAGTAATATTATAAATACTTATCTAAATATGATTGAAATATATATATGATTAAAAGAACAATATTGATTTTAAAATAATAATTATATTCAGTAGATATTTTGTTTTACTATTAAAAAAATATACTTATAATACAGCAGTAAATTATCAAACTGGAGGATCAAAAAGAATTTGCCAAGAATAATAAGAAAAGTCAAGACTAGAAAATAGAATTGTTATGAGATTTTTTAAGTAATTCATCCATAGGAATTACCAAGAATTATTGAGCTGGACAGACCAGGAAAATAGCAAAAGAATCATGTTCAAGTATTTTAAAATTAAGTAGAACCTGAACTGAAACATTTCGGTATTTAACTAAAAATAAAAATATATAATTAAAAATATTTTATTCATTATCATTTTTCCAAAATAATTTAAATAAAAAGTTAACTTAAATGTACATGATTCATGTTACCTACCTAAGTTTTTAAATTTTTCTATCTTTCTTTTACAAAAAGGACAATCAAATTCACCCCTTGAAAATTAATTTGCGCAATAGTTTCCTACAATGTGATCACAGGGGTTGATGGTAAATAAGTTTTCCTCCCGTTGACAAAAATGACATAACAAATCTATACAAACGCTGCATGTTAAAAGTATTTAGGTAATTTGGATTATCAAAGTTAAACCAAATATTTCTTTGATATTAATAATTATGACAACAAGATAATAATAAGAATTAACAACAAGTGTTATCAATAGTTAATTTATTGACGACTGTAAATACTAAAATTTATACCGAAAATTGGTACTGTTTATATAACCTCAATAATTTTGGTATCAAATTTATTGTATTGAAATAAATAAATATATGTCTATTTTTAATCATCTTCTGAAATATTCACTATATTATCTATAGTTTAAAGATTAAATAAATTACATTATTATCATATAAATGGCTATTTTGTATTTTNATTATCTATAGTTTAAAGATTAAATAAATTACATTATTATCATATAAATGGCTATTTTGTATTTTATACCTTAATAGGAAATATATATCTTAAATAAATTTATAAAATAGAAAATTATTTAATTATTAATTAGAAAATTAATTAAATTATTTAACCAAAAAGGTACCTAGTCTCAAAAATGTTTATCATACATGTTTATGATATATTAATAAATAAAATAAAATAAACAAATAAATATAAGTATGTTTTTAGTTACCATTAGATATATCTGCATCATCCTCTATAAATTAAACAGTTAAAAAATGGTATTTTTACCTTAAAAATGTGTATAATATATTTTTACAATTTGATTAATTTATTTTAAATAAAAACTAAATGTTGTAATTCATTTTAGTTAATAATTTATAATTTATTGTGCGGTAACAGTAAAATATAAAATTATAATTTAATTTAAATCATTTATTTCATCATGCTTATAATAACTCATATATTCAGAGTGATTTTTTTATCATAACCCACTCAATTACTTACAGAATAATAATAAAAAAATTTTTTATGACTATCTTTAGTTACACATTATTCTTGAATTATTAATTATGTTATACTTTTTAAGTTCATCCCTTATGCCTGGTAAGGGTGTCAACTTTGTTTTTTTAAATGGTAACACATATTTTTAATTTAATAAAATGTTTGAGTTTTTAATTCAATAGTAAATGGCGTTTGAATTTTTAATGAAACTTAATTTGTTTATTAGATATAAACATTTAAAGTTTCAAGTTTTTGAGTTAATATATACACAAGTATATGTACATATATACATAGTACATGAGTATAATACACAAGGGATTACAAATACAGGTAGCTAATTGATTTTTTATGACATCGATATTAGCAGGTACACAGCATTGGTATTATCAATAATAGTAAGGTACATTGTTGTGAGTTTATAAATACACTAACTGACAATACAAAATGTATGTCTATTGATAGTCATAATTGATAATAAATAAACCGTCACTGTGATAGCAATATAATAAAAAACCAATTAGCTACCTGTATTTCTTTCAACGATACGTCAAAAGATCACAAATCGTATCTAAGATACTGCTCTTAAAAAATTCCCTCGTTCCTTGTAAACGAGAGAATCCTCAGCAAATTTATATTTATATAATCAGAAAATATCGACATTTATAAAATTTTTATTCTTAAAACTGAATAAAACAAAATTATATATTTTTAAATATTTATTTAGGTATTTCCCATTCGTTTGGAATAAACTTTTTGCAAATTTGATCCTGTATCTGCTTACAGTTTCTTTTGCACAAAAATTTAACTTTTTCAACTTAAGTTTTGAAATTGTTCCGTGATTACTCCGAGCATTAAACGTATGTTAAATTGAATTATATGTAACGAAATATATGTTAAAAAAATTGTTTTTACACCTTATCTATTCGATATGCAAATGGCTCCGTATTTTAAAAAACATGCTAATTTTGTGTTAAAACTTTCGATTTCATATTTTATTTTTTCGACTTAATATTACTTTAATTTTTTGAAGAATGTATGTATCAGTAAAAATTTATTGTAGAAGTGGTATATACATATTCCTTTAAATATTTTTTTACTATAATTTTTAATGATGTATGTAAAGAAGGCTACAGTGATGAGGTCAGTGATTTTAATAAATGTTATGTGAATGAAATTTACATTGAATGATATATAAATATAATACATGAATAATTACTTGGTAGAGTGATTAAATTTAGTATGAAATTTATATGGAATAATTTAGTGTTGTAAATTTTACTGACAAGTATAAAAAGTTACAAAGTTGTTGTAACAAGTAATTGATTTAATGTTAAACATCCGATTACTCTTAAAATAATATTAAGAAAATTATTTTTAGTATAACTTGATTTTATAAACAGATTCTTCAGTAAATAATGTAACAGATCCATCATAACGAACAAAGAGAACAATAGAATCCCGTTTTCTTATTTAACGAACACATTATACAAGGCGAATTTTAAATTATGTATGTTCATAATCAAATAAATAATGATCTAATTAAAAAATGGTTATTAAAAGTAATATTTTAAACAGAAATTGTGCATAAAAAACCTTTTTGACATTTTTTAGTTTTATACATTTCTCAATTTATCAATTAAAATAAATTTTTTAATTTATCCTTTATACCCTATAAAATACAGACAATAAACGTTTTACTTGTTACATTATCCAAATAAATTGTTTGTTTAATGAGTTTTTAATTCGCTTACTAATTTTTTCAATTAGTAAAACTCTGAAATAAAATAACTGAAATAAAATTGTATACACAAAACAGACTTAGTTATTCATTTGAAACCAAAACAATAATAATTTTGTATAAATATTGAGATTAGTATGGCAAATAGGTATAAATTTCAAAGTGTTTTTAAACAGTATTTTTTATAAAAACTTATTTCATAATTCAATAATAACGTTATAAGCAATTCAAGTATATCTTTCGTATTTCAAATTCGAACTTTATATTATATATATTTAATCGATAAAAAAATCTATCCAATGTTGTTTTTTCAAATTCAGTTATTTCTTGTTTAAATGTTTTTTGATACAAATGTAGTTCTGAAGCTATGGATGACTTTGAAGATAAAAGCATAGCCTTAAGTTCTGCAATATGCTTACGATTTTTTTTAGTTATAATATGATCTTGAATGTTATACAGCAGTAGTTTATCAGGTTCTTGGCATCGTCGAAGATACCAAAAACGTGCCATGAATTCTTCGTCAGTCATACCATTCTTTAAACTATCCTTTAAACGACCAAACTCTATTTCAGTAAGGGCACGAAATCGGAACATGGATCCTTTATCAAATTCACAATCATCCAAATTAACTATAAATAATTTTAATGTTTTATCCGTTAATAATTATCTAAAACAGTATAAATTAAAAAGTTAATTTAAATACACATGATTCTTGTTACAAACCTATGTTATCATAATTTTTTATCTTTCTGTTACAAAAAGGACAATTAAATTTAACTCTTGAGAATTTATTTGCGCAATAGTTTCCTATATTGTGACCACAGGGGGATAAGGTAACTGAGTTTGTCTCTTGTTGGCAAAAATAACATGACAAATCTATACAAACGCTGCATGTTAAAATTATATACATAGTTTGGGTTGTCAAAGTTACACCAAATATTTCTTTGATATTAATAATTATTTTAACAATAATTGTTTATAATTATAATAAATTAGTTAATTTAATTACGACTGTAAATAATAAAAGTTATGATATTTTAACCGAAAATCGGTAATTAAATATTTTATTATAATCTCAATAAATTTAGTTATTACCAAAATAATTTATTTATCATATTTATTGTAATTAAATAAATAAATATATGCATATTTTCCATTACCTTCTGAATTATTTACTGGATTATCTATAAATTAAACAGTTAATAAATTTCACTATTATTATATACATGGTTATTTTATTTTCTTATAAGAAACATATGTATTAAACTAACTTATAAAATAGAAAATGATTTAAAATATTATAATTAATCTATAACAATTTTTGAACGAATATATTTCGTCCACATTATGACTTCCGACTAGGTACCAAAAATAGCCATCTCACATATTTGTTATCAAGTGTGTTAATGACATGGTTTTAATGTTCAATTTCAGGCTTATATCATGTTTTTTAGTGTATGAAATTCACAGTTCTATAAGGCTACATATTAGCCTGTTAATGCATTTGATTAAATAAATACATATAAATATGTTTTCAGTTACCATTAGATATTTCTGAAACATCCTCTATAAATTAAACAGTTGATTAATTTAACTGTTATAATAAAACATATTTAATATATTTGTCTATTTTATTTTACTTTAATTAATATTGACATTAAATATGATGAATAATTTTAATTAAAATATTATAGTTTAATGAGTGGTATCAATAATTTGAAATATAAAAACAAAATTTAACTTAAATTTCTATTTGAAAGTGAATAATAGTTAGTAAAATAATAGTTCGGTTATATACAAATAAATTTCGAATTACCTTTTATTGTATCATTTAGGTTATCTGAAATTTAATATGTTTAGTTATAAGGTTATAAGTTTTCTTAAATTTGGAAATACATAATTTGTATTTTATAAGATATAAATATTATTTTCATAATAATATGTCGTTCCGTACATAATTACAAAATATACTGTGTGATTATTTTAACCATAGTTACTAGATTTCCCTTAAGATAATGTTTTTTTGAAAATTAATGTTTGCATTTTGTTAGTTACATATGTATCTCATAACTATTGTAAAATGATTTATAGATCCATCTCTTATATTTTATAGGGGTGTCAACTTTATTTTTTAATTGGAAATATATGTATTAAAATATCTTATAAAGTAGAAAATGTTCTAAATAAGAAAATCATTGTTCGATTACAAAATTTTAATCATTACATTGGAAGTTATTAGTATTTAAAATATAGATTGGTGGAGAAGCTTAAATGGTGTTATTTTTATTTTTAGTCTGCATTCTTTCTCCTAGATACTAAAAAAGAGAATATTTGTAAAAAACATTTACCCCTATCAAAAATTTGGAAGGAAATTCACAGCATTATAGGGGTAAAAATTAGCCAGTTAATAAATTTTATTAAATAAATAAATTTAAGTATATTTTAAGTTAACAGTTATAATATAACTGAATCCTCTATATTTTATCCAATTAAAAAAGTATTAGAAAAAAAGTATAACTTAAGGTTAAAATTATTTTTAATTACAAATTGGATCAATCCCGTCACAAATCTCTCTTTTGCGTGCACAACAGAAACATCCATTGGCTAGTGATTGAGCTGTAAAAAATGAGTTTGTTTTAAGATTAAATTATTTAAAAATAGATTTAAATCTAAATAGGAAAGCTCACTTAGTTGAGTTAATTAGGTATTAGAGAGAACGTTAAATATGATTAAAAATACTATTACTAATAATAATAATAATAATAAATATAATATATAAGTTATCTAAATTAAGTATTTTGTTTATAATGTAAAAACATTGAATTTAATAATATAAATATTAATGTCGCAGTTTTATTTTAATTTTTATGTATAATCTGTGCTTTACATATGATTGGAACAATTATTTTTCTTAAAAAGAAACAACAAAATTTTGAATGATGGGTATTTTAATTAATTAATTAATTTAATAGGCTCAAATAATTGTTTCCGGATAGCACTCTTGGTCTTTATAAGTCAGTATTGCTGCAGCGGTCGGGTCTTTGGGTGTGAACGTGTTTCACTCTCTAAGTTTTTATTATGTTTTTTCGATGCTAATAATTAATGATCTTTGTTTACATAAAAATAAACTATGTAATTGTAACTAGTTGTTTCGTTCTTTGTTTACATTAAAATTTATCGTAAACGTTAGTTAATAGAAAAAAATGAACAATACTTCCTATAAAAGATTATCAACACAGTTAATAAAATTAATAGAGAAAACAAGTTTTTCCAATAGCAAATTAGTAACGCATTTAACAAAATTTAACTAAGAAAAGTATATTATACCAATTAAACTCAACAAGACACCAGTAATATACAATACTAATTTAATCATTTTCTAATATTATAAAATAATAAATTCTTTGAACAAAATGAAAGATTATTATTTCAAACTTAAATTTATGTATGGTAAAACAAACTGTTTTTGCAAATGTTTAAACAATATGTGTTTTTTGGAATAGTATAACGAATAAATAAAATGTTTAAGTGTCACGTAATTTCTAATTATACTTATAACTTATTAAGTAACATGGTGATCGATAACTTAAATTTATATGCGTTTTCTAATTTTTGCACATTTTAAACATGAACTCATTCTTTGAACATCGCAAAGAAAAAAAAAATGTTTAAGCGCGTCATAGTTTCTTAAAATATTGAGAATTTATAACTTGTAAACTAACATTATATTAATCATCAATTATATTAGATACCATTATCTTTTTTTATTTTAAATTATCATGCTAATTAAAAATTATTGACATTATTGAGTAAATATATATAAAAACAGTAGCATAGTGGGGTTTTATATATTTTCATACTATTTTTAAGTATATTTAAACATAAATATAATTAACTTTATAATAAATAAAAAATAGTTAAAAAAATCGACAGCATGTGGCTCGCCGGAACAATTATAGATGATATCTAACGGATATAGATAATGTTTAATTTATAGAAATTGGTGGATTAATCCAAAAGCAGAATTAATTTCTATATCATTCATTATTCCTAATTAGTAGCTCTATGATTTATAAGTATAATATATAATCAAATATCTATTATTGCAATTAAATATAGTATGAAATTGATGTTTAATAATTTAGTATTGTAATTTTTTTTAAAAATGGCAAACGTGAATAAAAATTGATGGGCTTGTCACAGAACTTTTTAGATAATAATTTGTTGTTAATTATGAATAAATGGTCTGCAAAAAATTTTCATCAGAGCCAATAATATACTTTTAATATACAACTTTTCGGGTGTGGTCGCACTATTTGTTGACAAAACTCTAGTGTTAAGATGCGCCTACCGCCGTAGGTGAACGGATGGGTGAACATGCGTGCGCTTCAACGGTGGCGAAAAAGCACCACGTTTCCAGTGCAGAAGGCAAAGGGAAAACCACTGCACTTAACATTTTCCGAGTATATATACTAATCCATTTGGTTATACAGCAAGGCTTAGCTTTTAGAAAAAAAAAAAAATTCAATTTTTCGTGCTGATTTAAAATCACCAGTAATCTTTATATTATTAATAATTATCTAAAAACAAATATTAACATATAAAAAAAAAGGTCTGACACTTTTATATATATCTTAAATTAAAGATAATGTAATATACTTTATTATGGAAAAAAAAAATTTCGGACTTTATTTTGTCTTCACGGTGAAAACAGACATCAAAGTAAATAAAAAAAACCTAGAGCGGGGAGGGGTTTGCGTCACAGTGGTGACGTGGTATACTTGGATCAAGTATAATGATATCTCACAGTGATTAAAATCACTACAAAAAAAAACGCTTCGATGCAAATCTTTAGATAGTGTTTAATTTTAAAAAATTGGTGGATTATTCTAAAAGCTACATGATGTGTTATTTTCTTATTAATATCCTTAATGAAAGAGGTATTATTAAAAAATATAATTTTTCATAAAAAAATTGTGTTGATCCATACATTTTTCAAAAAGTTATAGCATTATAAATTTAAATATATAAAAAAGAATTTTTTTATTAACTCTGATGTTTGTTTTCACCGTGAAGACAAAATAAAGTCCAACATTTTTTTTTTTTTTTAAATGAAGTATATTACACTAGCTTTAATTTAAAATATATATAAACCTCAGACCTTCCGGACCACTTTCAAAAGTTAGGTTGAAAAAATTCTACTTTTTATATCCATTTTTCAGATTTGAACCCCCCTCGCATATAGGAAAATGATCTGATTTAAAAAAAAAGAATGTCGAATGAAAGATGTATATAGATACTACATCTCATGAAAAAATTGTATTGATCCATACATTTTTTAAAAAGTTATAGCATTTTAAAGTAAAATATAAAATCCACAATTTTCACACAAAAATAGAATTTAGTAACCATTTTCATCGTGAAGACATAATAAAGTCCGAAATTTTTTTCTTCCATATGAACTACATAACATTAGCTTTAATTTAAGATGTATACAAAAGTGTCAGTATTTCCGGAACACTTTAAAAAGTTAAGTTGAAAAAATTGTCATTTTGAATCCCCCCTGTAGACAGGTAAAGGGTCAAATTTATAAAAAAATATATCAAATAATAGGTATAGACATTATGCATTTATTAAAAAAAAAATTGATATTAATTTGTTAATTTTTGAAAAAGTTATGGCAGTTTTAAACAAAAAAATTGAAAAAATTTCGAAAATTAGTGATTTTCAAATTTGTAATTTTTTTGAAGGTTTACCCTATTTACGCGTGAACGTGGGAATTTTTTTCAATTTTTGTGGGTAATGTCTTCGACTAGATACGATTTGTGATATTTTGACGTATCGTTGAAAGATATCAATACGATGTGAGCTGAGAAAATGTGGTAAGAGACACAAAAACAAAAAAAAAAAATACATCATAGTAAAACTAATAACTTATTTAAAATTTTCTTTATATACATGTGATTCTGAATATTTGCCAGACAAATGTTCCTTTTTTAGCTTCATTATATTATTGCGATCATCGCGAGTTATTATTTTTTTAATGAACTTCAACATTTCATTATTAAGTTCTTAGGAGCCTCAAAGGTACCAAAAACGTGCCATAAATTCTTTGTCAGACATAATATTCTTAGTATAAGTTACTAAACGATTTAGCTCGTTTTCAGTAAGGCCATGTAATCGGTACGGACTTAGACTTTCATCATTATAATAATAAATCATGGTCTGTCAAATGAACTAAAAATGTATAATTTTAATATTTAATTATTAAACTATTTTTGAAAAAAAATAGTTTAATGAAAATAATGAACTGATTTATACATGATTTTATCGACTACTGTAGTTTAAAAAGCTTGTTACATAGGATTTGTCCTATATGCATGCATACTGGACAAATTATTGATCCTTTTTATAATTTATTTGTGCAATAGTATCTTGTAATATGATGACATGAGGATATGGTAAAAAATTTATAAAGATCCGTACATTTTTTAAAGAGTTATGGCATTAGAAAGTCAAAAATAAAAAAACCAATTTATTTACAAAAATTATATTTTATTATTAACTTTGATGTCTGTTTTCACCGTAAAGACGAAAAAATGCCCGAAAATTTTTTTTATATAATAAAGTACATTACATTAGCTTTAATTTAAGATATATATAAAAGTGTCAGACCTTCCGGAACACTTTCAAAAGTTGAGTTGAAAAAGTTNGGAACACTTTCAAAAGTTGAGTTGAAAAAGTTGTCATTTTAAATCCTCCCTGTGGGCAGGTAAAGGGACAAATTTATAAAAAAAATATACCAAATGATAGGTAAGGATATCATGCATCTATAAAAAAAAAATTTTATTCATTTGACCATTTTTTAAAAAGTTATGGCAATATTAAGTAAACAAAAATTGAAAAAATTTCAAAAATTAGCGATTTTTTAAATTGTAATTTTTTTGGAGGTTGCCCCCATTTACAGGGAACGAGGGAATTTTTTTCTATTTTTGAGGATAATGTCTTCGACTAGATACGATTTGTGATCTTTTGACGTATCATTGAATGATATCAGTTCTGTGTGAGCTGAGAAAAAGTGGTACCAGAAACAAAAAAAAACACATCATAGTAAAACCAATACCTTCTAAGCTTCGCAACGAAGCTAAATAGTATTAAATATAATTGTTTTTTATTTACTTTCGTAAGGTTACCAGTAGTATTGATATGGCGGGTTATGGACTTTAATCAAAATTGTCCGTTACAATGTGCTTTCTCAACTTTAACTAAGTCTCGTGCATTCCTTAGTTTTAATTATTAGCTGATTTAACAATAAGATAACAAATGGTCTATTAGCTAGTTGTGTTCTTAAGTTAGTTATTTTGAATAACGATCTAGTAAAATAAATAAATTATTTTGCTAAATAATTAACAAAAAACCAATAACGACAATTAGAAAATATGTTGATAAAAAATTTATCTTATTTAAAACAAACATAAATTTATGAAATAACTATTTCAACCGATTACTCTTATATTCAATTTGTTAAAAATTAGTTTTTTAATATATTTAAAATTAGTTTTTATTTAATTATGTTATCAATTTTACTTACACAGAAGTTCTTAATTGATAAATAAGTAAAAGGGATGAAAAATTGCTATAGTTTTTTCNCGTGAAGATAAGATAAAGTCCGAAATTTTTTTCACATGTATGCACATATTTTTAAGAAAATATGTGTCCAAAGTATTATTTATTAAAAAATTAATGCAATTAATATGTCAATTAGAATTTGGGTTACCTTTTAGAATTACGTCAAGATTTATNTAGAATTTGGGTTACCTTTTAGAATTACGTCAAGATTTATTTTACATAATAAAGTTGAATATTTGAGTTATTTTTTCTTTTATAATGTTTTATATGAACACTAAATTCTGAAATGTGTAAATAATTA